GTAGGTACATAAATGAAACAAGGAATCATTTTTGTATTTTTCAAAACATAAATCCTCCTGAAAATGTGAAATAATTATTACAATTTAAGGAGTCACCTGTTTTTCACATTACTAGATCTAGAGTCTAGATCTAGACGCGGGTGATTTGTCATCATTTTACGCACCTAACTCTAACTAAAAAGATAGATTACCACACATTTTGATAGATCTCTAGATATTTTTTTAGGGTAATCTATCGTTTTAGATACGTAAAATCGCCCGCGACTAGTAATGTGAAAAACAGGTGACTCCTTAAATTTTAATAATTATTTCACATTTTGAGGAGGATTTATGTTTTGAAAAAATACAGAAATGTTCCCTTGTTTCATTTATGTAGCCTACCTGTTTTCAAACAATTGAATTAAAACTTTTCAGTAGGCCTAATAAATGAAGACTAGCGATGTTTCCAACAGATGCAACCATGCTCATTTACTATAGCAGCCATCTTTCGTTGTTAACTTATAGCGCGAGATTCAGTCAGGGGAAGGCAACTCTATTTTTACAAATGGCTGCTGTTTATATAATAGGAAATCCTGCTCGCAAACACGGCTGTTAAAAGTTAATTTCTTGCCTATAGGGCCCTAGGGCCTAACTAGATCTATATATTATATAGGCCCTAGGCCTATTGATTAGGCAGCCTTATTGCTTAGATGGCTGGATTGACCTCTGACCCTGAAACGTCACGCGTCGTTTTCTGACGGTTTTTACGTTTATTTTATGGGTCCTATACACGACAAATGAAAAAACTGCTAATATCGCAAATTCTCATTATTATTTTAATGCGATATGCTAAATAATTGGACGCTATGCCTGAAAATAACCGAAAAAATCGCCAGATATGTGGTTTTAATTAATACACGCTATTCTTGTTAAGTACTCTTGGGAAAAACTGAACTGCCGCCTTAAACGGCCCAGTACATGGTCAAAACCCCCTGGTACAGATGCAGAAATATATAATTGAGATATTTATAATGAGTAATTACAGTTATGTTGATTCGCCTTTTTTATATCGAATTTCCATATGAGGTACCCATGCAAACATTTCTGTCCGCTTTGTTTACTATCGTGACGTCATAGTTACGCTAGTTACCTCACAGAAACAACTAGTTTTTGTTTTTTGCGGAATGAACTGTTAAGGCTAGTTTTTTAATTATAATTCAACTGTAGCGTATGCAGAAAAAGTAAAATTTTGGAAATTATTATTGTATTAGTAATTTTATTAGTATATTGATTTTTTTTCTTCACTGTGGGCCGACAGTAGCTGCATTTAATTCGTGACCGGTGGTTAACCTCGTCAACGCTGCGTGGCCTATTCGTTTATATAATTAGTGATGCTCGTTCAGTGGCCTTTTTCAGAGCTAGGCCTAATTTACGGGCGATTTTTAGACTTAATTGATCGGCCGTTAGCCTTTTTCATTGCTGCGTATTTTAAAAAAATACTCGTTCAGCGGCCTTTTTTTTTTTGGCGCTAAATAATCTGTTTACGGGCAGAGGCGTAGCGACCCTTCCCGGCGCCCGGGGACAAACTTTCGATTTGCACCCCCCCCCGCTTCAAACTTTCAATTTGGCGCCCCCCCCTAAGGTCGGCGCCCGGGGACCTATGTCCCCGTCCCGCCCCCCTCGCTCCGCCTCTGTTTACGGGCATTTTAAGCGTTCATTTATTAATTTTTTTTAAGCTAGACGTAGATCTAGTTAAAAATTCTTTTTTTTATACAGCTGGCTGTCTAGCATGCCTGACTGATATGTGAACTTTAAAAAAAATGACCAAACTTTTTAAAAAAATGACCAGAAGTAGGAAAGTAGGTCTGTTTTTCAATTTGCTTGAAGAAGGGGGGGGGGGGGGAAGAGAGAGAGAGAAGTCAAGACACCGACCATCTCGTGTACGCGTGTTCATTCTATGACGTGTACTATAGGCCTGCTGAACTCACGGTGACCCGCGACCGTGGTGGGATTTTTCATCCACAGGATAGTAAACGTAAGCAAGCAATCACGCGAGTGACGATGTTTGTAGATTTTATTTTTAAAAAAAAATCACATACGTCATGTTTTCAAGATGAAAAAAAATGTAATGTAAAAAAAAAAAAAAGACACTAATACCATGTATGAACCTCAGCTGCCACACTGTTGACTCAATTATAATGTGATTGAGTGTAAAATGTATTTGTATTTATAAACTATCTTAACTATTACTATCATATTATTTTAAGCATATTTATTATTTAAAATTAAAATTTGAAATAAAAATATTTATTATGGTAATTTGATTTATGCACGTGTTCATTACTTCATAAAATGGTATGAATAACATGTAGAGTAGAATTTAATAAATAAAATAACTAGATCTAGTTTTATTATCAACCAGGTGCTTTTTGTTATTTTCCGGTGAGTAAATAACCTAAGCTGACGCAATTACCATGGCGGGAATTAAAAGCTCGTGTACCCAAGTCCACGACGTCATGTTATGCCGGTCGAGGGGCAAAAACGATGTTATGACTTTCATTTTCCATTCTTGGTTAATTTTCAAATTCTCTCTTTTCTCGTCAACCGAGTAAGCTAGATATTTAAATGTGGTGTCAAATGTTCTCTTAAGGGGTAAGGAACTTAATGGTGTATTTGAAATAACAGAATATTTTATTTTAAAAAATCCATAATTCAACCTACTATTTATTGATAGGGCCTATATTAGATCGTCTCCTGGCTGAGATGACGGGATGACCTCTGACCCTGAAACGTCACTCGTCGTTTTTTGCGTTTTTTGCGTTTTTTTTTAGGGGTCCGTTACACGACAAATGAAAAAACTGCTAATATCGCAAAATCTCATCATTATTTTAATGTGAGATGCTAACTAAATGGACGCCATGCCTTAAAATGTTCGAAATATTCACGAGATACTTGGTTTTAATTAATACACGCTATTTTTGTCGAGTACTCTTGGGAAAAACTGAACTGCCGCCTTAAACGGCCCAGTACATGGTCGAAACCCCCTGGTACAAATGCAGAAATATATAATTGAGATATTTATAATGATTAATTACAGATATGTTGATACATTTTTTAAAAATCGAATATGAGGATGAGGTACCCATGCAGAAATTTCTGTCCGCTTTGTTTACTATCGTGACGTCATTGTTACGCTAGTTACCTCACAGAAACAACTAGTTTTTGTTTTTTGCGGAATGAACCTTTAAGTCGAGTATTTTAATTATAATTCAACTGTAGCGTGTGCAGAAAAAGTAAAATTGTGGAAATTATTATTGTATTAGTAATTTTATTAAAATATGGCCTATATTGATTTTTTTTCTTCACTGTGGGCCGACAGTAGCTGCGTTGAATTTAATTCGTGACCGGTGGTTAACCTCGTCAACGCTGCGTGGCCTATTCGTTTATATAATCAGTGATGCTCGTTCAGTGGCCTTTTTCAGAGCTAGGCCTAATTTCGGGCGATTTTCAGACTTATTTGATAGGCCGTTAGCCTTTTTCATTGCTGCGTATTTTAAACAATGCTTGTTCAGCGGCCTTTTTTTTTTTTGGCGCTAAATAATCTGTTTACGGGCATTTTAAGCGTTTATGTGTTTATTATTTTTAAAGCTAGACGTAGATCTAGTTAAAAAAAAATGTGCGCGAGCATCATTTTCGTCTGTTAAAATTACAATTGGTTTAAGTTCAGGATGGAGATCTTTTATCGTTTTTTTTTCTTGACAGATTTTATCAAGATAGATCGACTTCAAGTTGATAGTGAATATTTAAATTACTTTACCTTACTATATTAAACTACATTTGCTTTATCTTTTAAGAGAGTAGACAAAAAAAATTAAGCTAAGTTTTAAAATTAGTCTTAGTTTTGTATCCATTCGGCTCTACTCTATTATAATTTGCTTGAAGAAGGGGGGGGGGGGGAAAGAGAGAGAGAGCGAGAAGTGAAGACACCGACGATCTCGAGTACGCGTGTTCATTCTATGACGTGTACTACAGGCCTGCTGACCGCACAGTGACCCCTCGACCGTGGTGGGATTTTTCACCCGCGGGATAGTAAACATAAGCAAGCAATCACGCGATTGACGATGTTTGGAGATTTTATTAAAAAAAAAATCACAAGTCACGTTTTCAATATGAAAAAAAATGTAATGTAAAAAAAAAGACACTAATACAGTGTATGAACTTCAGCTTCCACACTGTTGACTCAATATAATGTGAATTGAGTTAGGCCTATTTCTTGTATTTATAGACTATCATAACAATCATATTATTTTAAGCATATTTAATAAAATTAGAATTTGAAATAAAAATATTTTTTATGGTAATTTGAGTTATGCAAGTGTTCATTATTTCATAAAAAATGGTATGAATAACATGTAGAGTAGAATTTGTAATGTACATTTTCCTTTACCAATTTAATAAATAACTAGATCTAGTTTTATTATCAATCAGTTGGTTTTTGTTTTGTTATTTTCCGGTGAGTAAATAACCTAAGTTGACACACCCCTTAAAAAACTTGTGCACACCAGTTCACGACGTCATGCCATGCCGGCAGGGATCGAGAACGTGGGTTTTGTCATTCATTTTCCATTCTAGACAAATTTTAAAATTCTCTCTTTTCTCGTCAACTGAGTAAGCTAGATATTTAAATGTGGTGTCAAATGTTCTCTTAAGGGGTAAGGAACTTAATAGTGTATTTGAAATAACAGAATATTTTATTTTAAAAAATCCATAATTAAACCTAGCCTATATATATTATATATATTTACTATTTAGCTATTGATTTAGGTTTATTATTCATTTATCTATAATATTTGACACAAATATATCAAAATATTATTTTATTAGGCCTAAAGCCTTGACATTTGACAATGAGGTAACTTTTTCGTACATTACTAGATTCTAGATCTAGCTACTAGAGCTAGCTAGTAGCTAGATCTAGTCGCGGGCGATTTTACGTAGGCCTACCCAAAACGATTGATTACCTTTTTTAGCTCTTACCAGAGTCGAGTTTTAATTATCCTGATTGATTATATTTTGATATCTTGATCTTTTTAGTCAACTTAGAATCTAGATCTAGATTATAGATCTAGATTTAGATATAGATTCTACCTAGATCTAGATCTAGTTACTCTCTAACTCTACTATCCAAGAGGTAAGCCGTCCGCCTAATTCTCCGAGTGGCTGTTTTTGTTGTTGTTAGCCTATAGAGTAGTTTCCCCTAGATCAGGGGTCGGCAACCTTTTGAGACGGAAGAGCCAAAAGTTACCATTTACAAAATTTACGAGTTTTTAAAGAGCCACTAACATTTATATTTCAATACTTAGACTAGGTATAGATCTATGTTTAAATATATATACATAGAATTTATATATAATTTAAATAAATAGTTTTAAATTTGAAAAAAAATATTTATTCATATAAAAAATACACGTTTCGCACAAAACATATTAAATAATTTAATAAATATTAAAGTATTTTAGCTAGCTCTGCTAGAATAATAAAATTAGTAATCAAATAATAGGGTCGAAACGGAAGTACAAAAATTTTAGTATTGTCCGTACTGGCGAAATTATTTTTTGCTATTTAAAATATTTGATATTGATTATAGTTATAAACGTTTTTGATTTCCTCAAAATATATCACAAATACAATATGTAATTCAGTGGCGGAACTAGAAAAAAGGGCCACCCCGCAAAAAAAATTGTAGGCCCTCCTATATATATATATATATATATATATATATATATATATATATATATATATATATATATATATATATATATATATATATATTTATATGTATATATATATATATATATATATATATATAGGAGGGGGGGGGCAACAAACACAAAATACGAACATGGGATACTCATTGCTGGCCTGTTGTTTTTGAAAAATAAAATTGTTTTTTTTTTTAAATTTAAACAAATTATATCATGTCATATGAGTAAGTGCTTTAGTCTGTTTTTTTTTTTACTAATTTTGAAAATCAGTTTAATTTTTATCTCTGCTACAAGACCTCATAACATCTGGGTGGTTAAGAGAATATAAAACATGAAAGCTTTGTATAAGTAATGGTGTCTCGTGTTATGTTTATTTTTATGTTTTTTTTATTTATATTATTAATTTTAAATACACTCCTTTATATACAATGTCATTCTTTAGTAAGTAATTTATTATAAAATAATAATTAAGGAAGTAATTGCTTTTTATTTTGTTTTGAACAAATCTATTAAAAGGAGCTTATAAGCACCCTATTTGACTATTTAAAAAAGGGAGTTAAGTCATGGAAGTGGTTTGAACGTTTGCTTAACTTTGATAAGTTTGATTGTAGGAGAAAGAGGACTCGGCTTTAAAAACAAAGGGAAAAAGAATATACAAGAGCGTGGGTGTGGTGTCTATAGAAGAAAGATAATCCAACCGCAGCAACAGGAATCTTTTTACAAAACAACCATCAAGTCAAGAATGAAAGATAATAAGTATTTTGTTTATAATAAAAAAAAATTATTGTGGTCGGCTAAGGGCCCCTAAATGGCGTGGGCCCCACCGCATTGCGGGGTCTGGCGGTACTGTAGTTCCGCCCCTGATGTAATTTTGTGTATTAAAAAAAAAATAATCGCAGCGTAAATCGGTGTTACAAAATAATCGTACGTGTTAATACTCGATTATTATATGGGGAAAAAATGTCTAAAACAAGAACCAAAACAAAAATTAATGAAATAAATAAAATATTATATTTCTTCGTTTTTGAATTTACAAAAACTGAAATCGTCATTTAAAAACTCAGTTAAGGGCATTTTTACAAGCTTTTATTTAACTTGATTCCTCGTGCTATTTCTCTCATGTCTGAGTCAGTTTCTTTCAGGCATCTCTTCAGGGGGGGGGGGGGGGGGATTTAATGGATTTTATATCAGTGTCCGCTCCCCCCCCCCCCCCCCAGGTGAAAAAAAAGTCTGGAAGAAACACTGGCCTGGGTGGAAACTTTGCTAACAAAAAACCAAATTCTACCCGAACCGATGGGGTTTAAACTTGAATGTCACTTAGGTTAAGATCTGATAATGCAATGTGCCACGAACTTTGACATAATTAGAGGTGTTTCGTTCCTTTTTAAAATTAATTAAATACTTCTATGGCCTTACTTATAATTTAAGGCCTATATATAATAAATATAAGCCTTTTTTAAAAAAGAAAAACGTAAATAGTAACAAAATATATGCTTGCACAAAAATATGTAGATCTAGAATCTAGAACTAAAACATAATGACAAAAAATTATTAGCTTTAAACATAATATTGCACCATATTTACATAACTGCTCGTGACTATATATATGTTACGGTCAAAGCCCGAAGTCGGCCAATGCTAGGATTGGCCGGCCAATCCGCGCATTGGCCAATATCGCCTCCCATAGGTCGGTCAAAGTCCGAAACTTTGCTTCATTTCGGCCTTTGGCCGGCCAATCCGCAGACTGGCCATTGTGGACCGGCCAAAGTCTGAAATAGCTCTTGATTTCGGCCTTTGGCCGGCCAGTCCCGGCCAGTCCGCGGACTGGCCATGGTGGACCGGCCAAAGTCTTAATTAGAAGATCATGAGCAGATTTTGGTTTTTTTTTTTATGCCGGTAGGATCCTGAAATAAAGTCTTTATTGATTATTAATTAAAGTAAATGACAGAAACATTCAATTTTTTTATTGTACTATAGTCTCAATCAATCAATATTATCATTTGTTACAACAAGTTGAACTTTTATGGCATTTAGAATTACATAGCAGCTTGTTATTTTTACACTTGCAGCGATTTGTTGTACACTTGGTTGTGCAATTGCAGCGAGTGTAGCCTTGGCCCCCAGTCAATGATTGTGAAGATGCAATGAAGAGGCGATGGTTCGTAGTGATTTTTCCTCAGTGCCAACTGACGACAATAAGAGCAGTTTTTCGTGAAGAATTGAAAACTCACTTCTAGCATACAGTTGTTTTAGAACACCATGTTCCGTTCCTAATTTGTAGAAACCGCCCTCGACGCTCATGACAACTGCAATCACGCTTCGGGGATCACCGCGACCTCTGTCAACATCTGGAAAACGGATGCCTACATTGTCACCCACTTCACCATCTTTAAATTTTGTATTTGATGTTTTAAGCATCTTAGCACCTTGATTTTGCAAGCCAGTATGAGCTGCTGACCTGTGTTCCATGATGTCTTGTTTGTTGTGACACAATCTGCAGGTAATGTTCCCTCCGTACCCTTCGTCTGCTTCATTGGGTATTCCACAAATAGCATGCACATCGTTGCCATAGGATCCACAAGAATGAGCTGCACTACAATGTTTTTCACAAACTATACAGAATCTATTGGCCACATTATTGTCACGCAACTGGTCTGGACGTTCCGCCACGGCAGCAGATGTGTTAGCTGAGGATGTCGTTGCATTTATGTGAGCGGGTGAATGGATTATTTTGTATTATTTTATTTGTTGCGAATCTGAGAGTGCATGGTGGTCCAATGGGGAACGGCCACGGAGTCCCCTTCCGTCCGAAGCGGTCAGTATAAATTGACCGCTCGGAGTGATTTTCTTTTTTTTTTTTGACCCGCGGCGAGATGTAGGTCGGGTCAGGTTTCTGTGTGGCGCACCTCACGCGTGGAGGTATTTGCTTTTTTTTACTTTATCGTTATGTGCTTTGTATGAATGCGACTGTCGATGTTTCTCGTTTTCTTTCATTTTCGTCTAAAACGAGATAGTGAGCATCGACATGTCTGGTATGCACGTGGTGTGTTATTTTGTTATTTTTAAAAAATGTATTTGTGTATTTTCTAAACCCTTGGCGTGTGTTTCGGACCACGTGGTTTAGGCCAGTGTGTTTAGGAGTGTTTCCTAAACTAGTGTGAATGCGTGTGTGCATTTACTTGATTGTTTTATGATGTGTTGTTATTGACTAGGATTGGCTTAGTCAATAGTCGGTTGTTTTAGACAGTAATTAGATTAGCATATTTTAGTTGCCTCGAGTTTTAGGTTGTTTAAAATTAATGTGTGTGCTGTTTCGTGCAACGTCATGTTGAGTATCGCTTGCTTTGTGTCTGCCTTCATTGGGGCCTTAGCGGAGTGTGTTAACTTTAATGTTATCAATATGGATATTGTTTATGTAGACCAATGGCTTCGGGCTGCTCCTTGTGTAGGAAAGATTGGTTCTACAATGAATTTGTTTACACGTTATTTTTAAGTTGCTAGTTCTTCTTTAGACAGTGGTTAGTTGTTTTTGAGAATTGCTTTTAGAATTGTATAGTAAGGATTAGTTTTACTCGAGGCTTTAGCTAGATAGTAGTCATGTCATGTTTGCCTGTCGTCCCTACTGGGACATAGGCCGCTGACAAGAGCTTTCCAGACGTCTCTGTCCAGGGCTAGTCTCTCCAACTGTCCCCAGGTGTATCCAATCTTCTTGGTGTCTTCTTCCAGGTCACGTCTCCAGGTCTTTCTTGGTCTGCCTCTCTTCCTCCTGCCTTGTGGATTCCAGGTGAGGGCCTGTCTTGTTATGCTGGATACAGGCTTCCTGAGTGTGTGGCCAATCCATTTCCATTTTCTCTGGAGGATCTCTACTTCCACTGGCAGTTGATTTGTCCGTTGCCATAGAACATCATTTCTGATGGTTTTAGGCCAGCGAATTCGCAGGATCTTTCTGAGACATGCGTTTATAAATGATTGTATTTTCTTCTTATTTATAGCAGTTATTCTCCATGTCTCGGCTCCATAGAGTAAAACAGGTTTTACTAGTGTGTTGAAGATCCGGATTTTTATTCTAAGGGTTAAATCTCCCGAACCCCAAACATTTTTTAGTTGGTTGAAGACTGCTCTTGCCTTACCCGTCCTTATTTTTATGTCTGCTTCTGTCCCACCCTGCTTATCAACAATACTTCCAAGGTAGGTGAATCTATCCACTTCTTCTAGGGCTTCTTCTGCCAGTGTTATAGGGTTGTTGTTTGATGCATTGACTTTGAGAACTTTACTTTTGCCTCTGTGGATGTTCAGACCCAGGCTTGTAGAAAAATTTGCAACCCTGTTGGTTTTATCCTGCATTTGCTGTTGTGTGTGAGAAAGGAGAGCCAGGTCGTCAGCGAAGTCCAGGTCATCCAGCTGGCTCCACAATGTCCACTGTATACCGTTTCGCGTTTTCTCTGTTGACATC